GCCTTTAACTTTTTGCATTTGATATGTCTTGGTGTGGGTCTTTTTTGATTCATCTCGTTTGGGACTCTCTGCGCTTCCTGGACTTATATGTCTATTTCCTTCGCCATTTTAGGGAAGAGTTCCATTATTATTTGTTCAAATAGGTTTCCCATTCTTTCCTCTTTCTGTTCTCCTTCTGGTAACCCTGTGATGCAAATATTGGTACACTTGATGTTGTCCCAGAGGCCCCTTAAACTATCCTAATTTTTTTTAATTCTTTTTTCTTGCTGTTCTGATTTTGTATTTTCTGCTACCTTGTCTTTCAAATTGCTGATTCAGTCCTCTGATTCCTCTATTCTACTATTAACTCCTGGTAATGTATTCTTCATTTCAGTTATTGTATTCTTCATTTCTGACTGGTTCTTTTGTTGTTGTTGTTTTCTATCTCCATTTTTATGTGTCCTATCTCTTTAGGTTCTTGCTGAGACCACTGATCATCCTTGTTACCAGTGTTTTGAACTCTACATCTGGGAGAGTGCTTGTCTCCATTTTGTTTAGTTCTTTTCTGGATTTTTTTTCTGTTCTTTCTCATGGGGTGTGTTTCTTTTGTTTTTTATAATATATATTAGGTAGAGCTGCTATGTCTCCCAGTCTTGTAGAGTAGCCTAATGTGGTGTGTATCCTGTGGGATCTATTGGCATAGTGTCTAGGTCACCTGAGCCAAGTAGTCCAGGTGTATCCCTTGTGTAAGTTGTTTGTAGCCTCCTGTTGTAGTTGAGCCTTGATTGCTGTTGGTACCAATGGGAGGGATTGACCCTCAGACTCATTGGTTGTGAGAACTGTCAGTGACTATGGTGGAGGAGTTTTTTTGCAGGGGCCACCCTATGGAGCAGGATTCACTTTAGCAGGGCTCTGGTGCCTGCTGAATCTGCCCTTTGGTAATATTGTTTCTGGAGGTGGTTGGGTGGTGCTCTGGTGTGGTCTGAAGCTGGCCACCAGGGTGCTGAGGCCTCTTGGGAGGGGCTGTGGTGCAGGCCTAGGTCAGTCACTGCCTGTGCCCTACCCAGGACCACTTGGTGTGAGCTATAAAGTGATCTGGAGATGGTTGCCACTTGGCTGGGCTTGGAGGTGCCTGGTAGAGGCTAAGCTACAAATTTAGGTGGTTGCCTCAGTGCCAGGCTTGGGGATACTTAGCAAGAGTTATAGAGCATGCCAAGGCCAGATGCTGCTTGTTTGGGTTTGTGAGCCTTTGAGAGGTTTTAGGAAAGTCTGCAGCATGAGCCAAGACAGGCCATTCATATGGAAACGTCACTGGAAGCACCTCCAGTGGGTTTGAATGCTGGATGGGAAATCACTGGAGTAGGGCAAACCATGTTAACCAAGTTGATGGAAACTCAGAAACGGCAAGCTGGATCGGAGGGCTCAACAAAGGAATGGTGGCTTCTTCCAGCCCTTCTGTCTGGGAGAGAGCTGCCCCTCTAGCCCTTGCCCCAAAGTCAGACAATTCCGTTCCTCCCTGCTATGTCCCTGGTGCCTTTGGAGCTGTTGTCCCAGCATTGGAGCTCAGAGCAAGTGAGTCTGAGGAAGTCAGTGCATGGGCCCTTTAAGAGGAACACCTGGGACTCCAGCAGCCCTCTGTCTCTCAGCCACAATCCGCACTGATTTTTAAGCCAAAAGTTATGGGACTTATCTTTCTGGCATTGGAACCCTGGGCTGGGGAGCCTAGTGTGTGGCTGGGACCCCTGGTCCCTCGGGGGTGGGAGGTGGGTGGGGAGAATGTCTGCAGGTGAGATGTCCTCCTGATTTTTAACTGCCACAAGTAGGTGTGGGACCAGCCCATTCTATGTCTCTGCCCCTCCTACCAGTCTTGATTTGACTTCTTTATATTGCACATCATAGCAACTGGTAAACCGATTGACTACCTGCCCCCTGGTGGGCAGTGCACGTCATAGTGAGCAGTTGAGGGGCCTTAGCATATCATTAGCATATTACGCTTTGATTGGTTGAACGACAACCAGACGACTGGACACTTAGCATATTAGGCTTTTATTATATAGGATAAGTAGGTACAAACATCTGACTTCACTATGTTTTCTATAAAGTTGTGCCTGAACATTTACATATTGAAATACAGATTTTTTTTGTCATAAATTACCTTTTTATCTTTCATCTATTACAGTTAGGGAATTATATGAATTTGGAGGGAGGAATTATATGTACTTGTAAGTTATATTAGCTGTGAAGTCCATTTAGGATACAAATGGGATATTGCAGAGCATTTACTATGAGAAGAGAGAATTGAGAAGTGCTGTTTTAGACAAGAAGAAGGGGAAGTTGTCAGAGAATGGGTATTTGACAACAATTTATGGAAAGATAGAAGGTGGTAGTGGATGGCCATCAGAGGGCATTCTTTGATACAGGGGGAGGGTGCCTAGAAATAGCATTAGAGCTAGCAAGTCACAGTCCCCAACTCTAGCCTCTTTATTATTGCTCACACTTTTCCCTCTACCTGGAATACCTACCTTCATCTTCTCTGACACATATATGTTCTTCATTATCTGGCATGAAACCTTATTCTTTTCAAAGCTTACAAGAGGAAATAGGCAAGAGCATGAACACTTGAATACCTGGATTCTGTGCTAGACACTATACATAATTTTTCATTTATCCCTCCCAGAAAGGGAGCATAGTTACTTTTAGAATTAGAATGAAGTCTGATCAGGCTCGAAGACTTTTACTTGTCCATTGTCTTAGTTCGTTACAGCTTCTATAACAACATACCACAGATTTATTTTTCAGTTCTGGAGATCAGGATGACAGCATGCTGGGGTGACCCTCTTCCAGGTCACAAATATCTCATTTTTTCATCATGGCTGAAGGAGCTAGCTAGGGAGCTCTGTGACGTCTCTTTTATAAGAGCACTAATCCCATTCATGAGGGCTCTACCCTCATGACTTAATCACCTCCTAAGACCCAACCTTTATGCACCATCACATTGAGCATTAGGATTCCACATGTGAATTTGGAGGGTGACACACACATTCAGATCAGAACATTCAGTATCACCAGGTAAGGAAATAACAAAAGTGGGAATCTAACTCAGGGAAATCTGGCTCTACAGCTTGTATTCTGCCCAATACAAGACGCTATCATTAAATAGACCCTCATGACAGAGTTGTAAAAAGTTGGCCATTTGGGGCTTGTGCTCTTCTAACTTTTGATTTGACTCAGATTTGAAGCTTCTCTTTGTTTTGGGCCCTAGTCTCTTTCTTAATAATTTCCTGTTACTCCTTTAACTCAGTTTCTTTCTTTGAAAACAGAGTTTTGCCCTAGCTCAGGGGTGGGCAACCTTTTTGTGAGTGCGTGCCAAAACCAGCAAAATCTCTGACTCAAAATTCTTCTGCGTGCCAACCCTAATTTTTTGAGAATATGTTACGCCTACTTGATTTCTCTTAAGGTTTACGTATGTGAAGAACCTTGAAGAAATAATAAAATTCATTCGAGTGACAAAAATACAGTATATGATGATGAAAAATACATTTATTTTTTAATGTATACATGTACACTGATAGTCCGACAGAAAACTTTATGACTCCGTTTGATATTATCAGTGGGACTTTTGCTGCTGCATCACTGATGACAGAGATTTTACATCAGGTTTATATTTCGTGACCTTCAGAGATATGCACGAGCTACTACTTTCATCCGTCAGGCTACTCCTATTATGAGACTTAACAAAATTCATCACTGAGAACAAAGATTCACAAGCATATGTGGATGAAAACATGAAGAGTAACGCTGTTGCAAAGTTTTTTAAACAGAAAAAATTTTCTGGAATGGCATTCCAAGTCCTCAGTAGTTCATTTTCGACACTATTGAAATTGCTCTTCCCCTCTCTCGTCAATCCATGTCTATGGTCTTTAAGATAACTTGTTATGTAAAATTATTTATTTATCTAAGATGCACCTACACTGAATTTATCTGAAAAATAAAAAAGTCGATATTAAGAAAAAAATTGTAAATGGAAGATTATAAGAGAGGATTTTGCGTGCCAGCAAAAGTTACTGGCGTGCCATGTTTGGCACGCGTGCCAGGGGTTGCCCACCCCTGCCCTAGCTGGTTTGGCTCAGTGGATAGAGCATTGGCCTATAGACTGAAGGGTCCTGGGTTCAATTCCAGTCAAGGACACATACCTTAGTTGCAGGCTCCTCCCTGGCCCTGGCCCTGGTCGGGCTTGTTCAGGAGGCAACCAATCTATGTGTTTCTTTCACATCGATACGCCTCTCTGTCTTTCCCTCTCTCTTCCACTCTCTCTAAAAATCAATGGGAAAATATCCTCAGGTGAGGATTTAAAAAAAAAAGAAAAAGAAAACAGTTCTTTTATCATCTTTGATTCTCCACAGCATTTACTATATACCTGGTCCATTATAGGTGTTTAGTATGTATGCATTGATTGATTTAAATATGTAAGCTCTACACAAGTTTTCAAATGTTTAAGGACCAACTGAAAATACATAGTGTAGGAGAAGATCTTGACAAATGTAAATGCGGCTGATAGTTTTGCAACTTTAAAAGGCATCATTAGATTTGCATCTAAAATAAAATTAAGATTCAAAGATTTTATTTAATTAGATCTAAAGACATTAAAAATTGAAATTATCACTATCGAGATGGTAGATAATAGTTTGAAAAATTCTGGGTTTTTTTAGTTGAACATATTATTTTTCAGTCTCTTCTGGATACCATTACTGGGTAATATACTCAGATATTCTTGCATATATTTCATTTAAAACAAATATTTCTAATCTTTAATGGAAAGGTGGGGAATACAATCTTCAAAGTAAAAAATAGCAACAAAACAACTAGCTTTTTCTTATGTACAACTCAACTAAAGATAAGCTCTTTATTTGGGATGCATGTAAAGAAGAACCACGTTCTATGTCCTATGGATGTGTGTTAAGTATAGAAATGTTTACATGCTATTTTGTTTAGTAATGAATTTATATTATTCTGTTTTTCAGGTCCTGTAGGTGTAGGTTTGAATGAACTGAAACGAAAGCTGCTGATCAGTGATACACAGCACTATGGTGTGACAGTGCCCCGTAAGTTCTGTCCTGTTCAATGCTACTAGGACTGCTCTAGTAACGACCGCTCAGTGCCCGCATAGCATGTATGGCACCAAGCACTCTTCTAAGCATTTCCCATCTACATTCACAGCAGCCCTATGAAGTATGTAGTGACATTACCCACTTTTGACTTAGAAAGAAACTGAGGCACAAGATAACAGTTGAAGGATTTGCCCCAGATTTATATCATTGACCTGAATGTTTGTTAATTATAGCTTTCTTACGGTCAATATGATGAATTTTAATACACATATGACATTAAATTACTATTTACAAATTTTCTTCTAAATAGAAGTCTAACTATTCTATTTCCTAAAATAAGTGCTAATGTTTTCCAGAGTTTTCCCCGGCTTTAAGATTAGAAGGACCAAACCACACAGAGCTGAAGGAGGCTTCTTATAATGTAAACCTTCTTAATTACTTTTTATATGTAGTAATTGGCAGATAGTGTTAAATGGGCCTTTCATAGCCATATAAGCCAAATATGGTAGGCTTCTTTTCAGTACATAGAATTAGATCTATTTTTATGAAAGCGGTTTTGTTTTCACAGGCATTCTTGCAAATAAAATGTGATTCTGGAAGCATTTTGATCATCAGAATAAATGCCATTTGACTACTTAATATGTTGATGTTAGAAAGTCATCTAAAAGACTAAATTGAAATGTTGGCTTTCTTCAAGTGGTTTTAGTTCTATTTTTTAAAGTCATTTGTATATAGCCCTTAGCAATGTTCTCTAGTTTTGGAAGAGTTCAACTTTATTTTAAAATTATAGTTTTCTATTACCTCAAGTTATTCCTTGTTACTACATTTTTCCAAATTATTGTTTGTAATCATTTTCAGCCATAAGTTATAGGACTGACAGTTTCCATCAACAGAGATGAAAGTAAAGGAAAATGTGGAATTAAAGTTTCTTTCTTTCTTTCGTTCTTTCTTTCCTTTAATTATTCACCTCTCTTATAAAAGCTGAGTTGCAATATATAGGTAATTAGAACATTTTACAAAACATTCCCTTAGTTAAGCTCATAGGTGAGCAATTACAAAAGAGAATGGAAAATGATATTACAAAAGAAAACAATGACTTTATTAATTTCCTACTGTGTAATTCATCTTTTATTTGTCTTTATTTATTTTGTGCTGCCAACAACAGTAAAGACAACTGATGTCTCCATTTTACAGAGAAGAAAGCAGGGTTGAAAGGATACTTTGACTTCGAGTTCTATAGGCATTAGTTGCACTTAAATTTGAAACCAGGTTTTATTGAACCACTTTTCATGTTCTGCCTCCTATATAATACTGTGCAATCCCTTCAAACTACAAATTCTCTTTTTTTGTAGCACAGTTAGTAGGAAAAACTGGTTTCTTTTGAAGACTGGAACTATCAATAATGCTGTCTATCAAACATAACCCTCTCTAATAGTTTTGATATTACTAAAGGACCTAGGGCAAGGCACTTTGGCCTCAGTTTATCCAACTAGTAAAATATTTGCCTCAAGTTATTATAGAACCTGACAACATGCAGAAAGGTTCTGGGGCTGGGACTTTCCAAAGAAATCCCCAAAGTAGTAATTTAAAACAGTTAATGTCAAAAGATTCCCCTATAGCAGTGTTTTCCATACTTGCCTGACAATAAGAACCTCTGAGGGGTTCTTCTGAAAAGATTTCCAGGCCTCTACAAAGAGATTCTCCTTTAGGAGAAAAGGTGGATTGTCTGAAAATCTGTATGGGTACTTACAGCAGCCATCCCAGGTGATTCATAATATCAGACATCTTTGGCAAATACAGCCACACCATCAACTCAGGGTGATTTGATTAATCACATAAGTTATTTTAAGAGCGGTTTTGGAATTTTAGATTGTTTTGCTTTATAAAATACTTTAGATAGAGTCTTGATTATTTAGAGAAAAATTACTGCTTTGGTTATTCTACCAGTATTCTGTTTGCTGTTTAACTCATTTACCAGAATGGGTAAATTGAATAATTGTGGAGTGTGGAGCAATGGAATTCACACACAATGCTGGTGGGAGTGTAAATTAATTCAGCTACTTTGAAAATCTAACTGGCCATATCTATTTACTAAAGCTGAGAAAACACATACCTAGTGACCTAGCAATTCCACTATTACACACTCAGCAGAAATGCATATGATGCATACTTGGATACTCTTAAAAATACTATTCATAAAAGCTCAAACCTGAAAACTACCCAAATGCCCACCAGTAGTGGATTGGTTAAATAAATGATGGTATTTTCACACCCTGGGATACTGTAATGCAGTGAGAATGAACAATATGCTACTACATGCAATACTATGTATGAACCCCACCAACATCATGCTGAATGAAAGAAGGCAGACATAAAGAGAATGTGCACTATGGCTCTGTTTTATAAAAACAATTAAAGCAATGCTCCTGTGTGCTGTTAGAAATCTTGAGGGGGCAGACAGGAAGGGCGATTCTGGATGCTGGCAAATCTGCTTCTTGTTAGCGTTCTGGTTACCTGGGTGTATTCGTTCTGAAAATTCATCAAATCTTACATGAGAACTTTTCTGTCTACCATACTTCAGGTATTTAAATGTTAAATAGAAATTCTTGGTAGTTTAGTCAGTTGGAGTTTGCTGATGATTTTCTGGTCTTGACATACACAACAGTGATGGAAGACTAATGCCTTCCTCCACTGGAGGAAGCTGAGGGGTGGGTACACAGGACCTCTCTGTGCCATTTTTACAATTTCTCATGAATCTATAATTATTGCAATTTCAGAAGGCTATTTAAAGGAGTGCTAAATCAGTTAAATGCTATTTCTCTTGAGCAAATTATATGATCTTTTAAAATTGTCCATGAGGCTGTATTAAACATTCACAGTTGCTTTTAAAGAAAGTGGTGGCCAAGCCCCGGCTTGCTTCTCTGTGGGAAATTTCATCCTTGATGGGCTGCATCAATATTGTTTGCTTGTTGTTAAGCCAGTCAGAGAAAGCTGATCAATATTGTTTTAACGCTAGAGGTTATCAACAACAAATCTAACTGACCATTAATATAACCAATCGTTCAAAAGAAAATTAAAATAGTTAAAGGTATTACAGTAAATATCAAATACTTGGTGGATTCTCATATCTTGATAGTTTGGATGTAGGCACTGTCAGTCAACCACATTGTTAATCTCTTCCTGAGGTTTTGCAAGAAGGCATGCACCACAGTGAAGTGTTTTCATAGGTTTCAAAGTACACTTCTTTGTCCTTAGGGTACCTCCGTTGAGATTTCTTAAAAAATATACATCATAAACTAAGGTACCAGTTTAAAAATATTTTTCTTAGCTCACAGTGGCAGTTATTCTGGGATCTTGTTGGGGGTTGGGTAAGAGTGGGGAGTTTGTCTCATTTGTTTCATGCTTTTCTTAAGCTGAAAACACACTGGGTACTCAGTGAACTGTGGTGAGGTAGTGGCCTAGGGCACTGTGGTTACTGTGCCCATCTTGCCCTTTGAGTTCCCTTCTCATAAGAATTTTCAGGTCCTTTATTCAGGATTCCTCACTGTTGATGGGTTTGTGAGAATCTTTTCTCTTTAATCCTTACCCGAGGAAATGTGTTTTTAAATTGACTTTTAGAGAAAGAGGAAAGGAAAAAGATAGGAAGAGAGAGAGAAACATCTATGTGAGAGAAATATTGACAGGTTGCCTCCCATATGTGCCCCAACAAGGGAATGAACTCTCAACCGAGGTTTGTGCCCTGACCAGGAACTGGACCTGCAACCCTTTAGTGCACAGGATGACCCTCCAATCAGTGAAATTGCATCAGACCTGGATAATTTTGGTTGGTCATGATAAACAAACATTTTGGTTGTAGACATGTTACCCTTTTTTTCATATTTTTAAAAATTTTTATTGTTGACATGAGTATTATAGAGGGCCCTCTTACCTCCCCCCCATCACCCCATTCCCCCCTGCTCCTGCCTGCCCCAGGCTTCACCACCTTACTGTCTGTGTTCATAGGTAATCATATATGCATATAAGATTTTTAGTTAATCTTTTCCAGTCCCTCCCCCATGTTTTCCCTCTGACAGCTGGCAATCTGTTCCATGCTTCCATGCCTCTGGTTCTATTTTATTCGTCAGTTTATTTTGTTCACTAGATTCCACATGTAATTTAGATCATATGGTATTTGTTTTTCTCTGACTGGCTTATTTCACTTAGCATAACAATTTCCAGGTCCATCCATGATGTCACAAAAGGTAAGATTTCCTTCTTTTTTACAGCCACATAATATTCCAGTGTGTAAATGTGCCACAGCATTTTTATCCACTCATCTATTGATGGGCACTTGGACTCTTTCCAGATCTTGGCTATTATAAATAACGTGGCTATGAACATAGGAGTGCAAACATTCTTTCAAATTGATGTTTAGGGATTCTTAGGATATATTCCCAGAAGTGGGATCGCTGGGTCAAAAGGCAGTTCCATTTTAATTTTGTTGAGGAAACTCCGTTACTGTTTTCCACAGTTGCTGCACCAGTTTGCATTCCTAACAGCAGTGTCCTAGGGTTCCCTTTTCTTCACTTCCTTGCCAGCACTTGTCGTTTGTTGATTTGTTGATGGTAGCCATTATGACAGGTGTGAGGTGATACCTCATTGTCTTTTTGGTTTGCATCTCTCAGATGATTAGTGACTTTGAGCATTTTTTCATATGCCTTTTGGCCTTCTGTGTGTCCACTTTGGAGAACTGTCTATTTAGGTTCTTTGCCCATTTTTTAATTGGATTGTTTATCTTACTTTTGTTAAGTTGCAAAGGAGGAAGTAAAACTGCGATTATTCACCGATAACATGATAATTGTATAGAAAACCCAAACTACTCCACCAAAACACTACTAGATATAATAAATGAATTTGGCAATGTAGCAGGATACAAAATTAACACCCAATAATCGAAGGCATTTTCATACACCAATAATGAACTCTTAGGAATTAAATAACCCCATCTACCATTG